ACGGCTCCGGAGTGCCTCCAACGGCGCACGATGGCATCCCAGAGGCCCCCCAAGGCCCCCCGACGGGCCCTCGGGCGGGAAAGCAAAAACCTATTCCTCCTCTGAGGTCGCAGCGAGAGCCTCCTCCCACAGCGGCCGCGCTTCTTCCTCCTGCGAGCTGCGGGTGGGCGCCTCCCCGCCCTGTCGCCGGCCCGCGCCTGCAGGGGCCCCGCAGGGGGTGGAGCCGAGTTGGCCGCGGAGAGCGCCGTCGGAGGAGGGGTCCCGGAGGAGCCAGCATCGCATCGGGGAAAAATCGGATCGGATCGGAACGTGTGCCGAATCGGACCGCATAGGCTCGGAGCCGGAGTCGCATCGCATGGGGCGGCGTCAAGACACAGAACAGCAGCGCCGAGCAGGCATCGGGCCGCATCGGGCCGTGCGAAGATCGGAATCGAATAGATTCGAGACGTCCAGAGCCGATACCGAGTCGGATCGATCGGATCGAAATAGGCCCTGAGGGCCCAGACCTCCTCGCATCGTGGACAAAAAACAAAAACTACCCTGGGGCAGTCAACAAACTGCTCGGTGCGAGAAACCAGCCCCCAGGAAAAAAGGACGAGACCGGTGGGAGCCCACGCTATTAGATAAAGCACACCGTCGGAAATCTGGCGGTGGGGGGACCACCCTCCGCAAGGCGTCGAAAGGCAGTATTACCAATGAGCCTCGCCTATTTGTGCTGGACGATTCTTCCATGGCTTGCCAACGCACCGCTGCTGTGCACAACGTGCTGACCACGCGCATTGCTTTCCTGACGACTCCAATGCAGCAGCAGCAGCGGCAAAGGCCACGCTGGCTGAAAGCAATGGGAGGCACAAAGGGAGGGAGGCAGGCAGGCAGGCAGGAGGGAGTAGAGAAGTGAGGGAGGAAAGAGAGGGGAAGAAAAAAGAGGGAGGAAGAGGAGGAGGGGGGAAGAGCGAGGAGAGATAGAAGAAGGAGAGGGGAGGAGGGAGGGGGCGCGGCCGCGAGAGCTTGGACGAGGATCATCCTCCCCATCCCTCTCGAAGCCCCGACACCCCCTTCCCCCCCCCCGAAGTGTGTCGAGTGCCTCTGAACACCGCCTCCACACTCGGGACTGCGGACGGTTATCCTGATGAGAGGTCCTCCTCCTTCTCCTCCCCCTCCCCCTCCACTCCTCTTCCAAAGGACTCCATCCCCGTCGCCGCATCACCGAGGGCGTCAGAAGGGCGGCCCCGCGTTTCACCCGAGACATCCTCACCACCTGCACCCTGCGGCTCGACATTCCGAACAGCTTACAGGATGGAGTGCTGGCGGCTTTCGACATGCTGCCGTCGTGCTGCCCCGCGCGTCCGTCTTCACAGCTCCGACAGCCGCACGGCTGGAGGCAAGCCGTCGTGCATCTGCGACTCCCGACCCGGCGACGCGCAGATTCCAGCGTGATTCACCGCACGAGTACTAGATTAATATACACCCCCTCCCCCGCCCGGCAGGCGGCCGACAAGACACAGGGCGTTTCACAATACATCACTCGTCCACGTGTACGTAGCGGCAAAATATCTGGACCATGAGCGGGCATCCCAAGAGCCGTTTGCACTTGCTGTTGGTCGTGGTGGCGGGGCTTGGGACGCTATGGAAATACGCTGCGAACTGACTGCGGGTGTGCACGCCGTGCACCATGCTGACCGCCCCGCCGCAACTTCGCAGCGTGTTTTGTTGATAAGGGGCGTGGGGGGTTATGCAAAACTGCATGGAATTGGCCACCGCGTGCACGGGCACACCTGGCGCACCCAGCGCACCTGGCGCACTCTGCGCGCGTCGCGTTTGGCGGCACCCAGCGCGGCTGGAGCACGTGGCACAGTTGGCACACACGGAGCACGTGGCGCATCTGACGCACCAGGCGTGCCTGTCGCGCTTGGGCCGCCTGGCACGCGCGGGGCGCCTCGCAAGCGTTGCGCACCTGGCGTCTGTGTTGGCCCCTCACGGCTTCCCATTCGATGGCGACCTCTGCCTTTGCTAAGCCTCGGGTGCAACTTCTGCGGGAGGGCGGGCGGGAGTGAGCGAGACGGCTCGCGGCGGCCCCGTTCGGAACTGACCCCCTCCCCCCTATGCCCCATCAGCTCTGGACGGGAGAGCGGCGCGAGCGTTCGGAGCGTTCGAGGTGGACCAAGAGGGCACCGAGATGGCCACAGATAGGCCAAGAGGGTCGCCAAGATCGCACAAGAGAGCCGAAGGTGGGCCAAGCTGGTTCCCGGCATGCCTCCAAGAGGCTCCAAGACCGCCACAAGACGGCTCCAGGTGGCCGCGGAAACCCCACGAGATCAACCCGAGAGACCAGCACCCTTACAAAAAACACTGTTGTTTAGGTGGTCGTCGTCTTGCCTTTTCACGTCCAATTGGCTTCTGAGACATCAAGATGGCTCCAAGGTCGCCTACTCCAGATTCCACAATAAAGTGGTGGGGGTCACATTTGGGGGGGGGGTCTGATTTGAGCTGTCTTGGAGGTTTCGGGGGGGTCTGGGCAAAGGGCCGCCCTTTCATGGATGGTCTGGGGGGGTCTAAAACTTCTCGTCTGGGAGGGTTGAGACCCCCTCCCTTTTATTACGAAATCTGGAGTAAGGAAGACCCAAAACAACTCCACAACGACCACAAAGGCCCCCAAGAGCGCCCCGAGAACGTCCCAAGAAGACTCCAACAGACGGCTGCTCGGGCTCCGACGGAAGAACCCGAATTTCAACCTGGCATGGTTGCTCGATGGCCTCCAAGATGGCCACGAGAGAACCCCCAAGAGAACCCCAAGAGCGCCTCGAAGGATCCCAAAAGGGCCCCAAGACAGCTCCAACATGTTTCCAAGAGGCCCGAATCGGCCCCCAGAGATCTCTGAATTTTTAAGTGTTAGCTCCTTTAGTGCACCATTGCTTCTCGACCTCCCTTCTCACGATAGTTCGCCTGGGCATGGCTTCTGGACAGGTTGGGGGATGAGTTAAGCCTTTAAAATCTCTTGAGCTGAATGACGCACGCCTTGTGGCTCCGCGATGACCACCGTAATGGAGGGCGAGTCATCCTCCATCCTGCCCCCCACCGCTCCTCCTCCTCCTTGTCCTCCTCCTCCTCCACCCTCTCGTCCTCCTCCTCCTCATCCTCCTCATCCTCCTCCTCTTCCTTTTCCTCCTCCTCCTCCTCCTTCTCCTCATCTATCGATCTATTGCCATAGGCGCGCGACGATGTCTGCAGCGCCTGAACTTAGCGCACAGCGCTAGGGCGAGCTCACCCAACGCGCGGGCCAGCTCACACCCTGGAGGTGGGTGGAGACACCCCCAGTCACGACTCCCATTGAGAGAGGCCCCAGCCTGGGAGGCTGAGGGGGGCTCTCAGGACACCTGCGCGACCAGGAGGAGGGCGAGCCCCTCTGAGCGGGCAGCATGGGGATGGCAGGTCCGCTCCCCTGCCTCGCTTTGCCAGGCCGGCAACAGCCGCAGCCCAAGCACGGGCGGCCCAAACACGGGCAACCTGACAAAACGGCCTCGTCCTCCTCCTCCTCCTCCTCCTCCTCCTCCTCCTCCTCATCCGCCTCCTCCACCTCCTCCTCTCAAGTGTCATATCGGGTCAAGCCAGCTTTGGTTCAAGCTTGCTTGCCCCGCATGTCCCAGGGCTGTACCACCCACAGGTGTGCTTACTTGAGCGCTTTCGGGGACAATAGCTTCGCGGAGGTGAACGCTGGGATTGTGGCTCGGCGCTGTCACAAGTTGGAGGGGGCGACTTGTGGTTGATCTGCTCCGGAAATCCGCTACCGATATCTGCCATGTTCGTGCTCGGGCCGGCTCCGTCGAGGCGGTGTGCATGTTCGGGGATTCTTTTTGAGTTCGTCCTGGAAGTGTTGCCCACGCTATTTATTCACAGCGCTGTTATTCTTTTACGTGCCAGTGGCCTTTCCCCCTTTTTGGGGCGTACGGCACGTCATTGCAGTGGTGGGATTGTGGGTTTGCCGCACTTGTTATCAGCATCGTTCCTTTATCTGGATTCTTGGCGGCGTCCTCGTGTGGCTGAGCCTGGCCCAGGCCCGTATGGGCAAGTAAGGCAGACGCTTGTTCTTATTCATACGGTTGGGCTTTGCTGTATCATTTTCATTCAGACATCGCTACAGTTCTGAGATGTCAATTGTTCACATCTTGCAATTGTGAGGTGTTCTGTATTCATTGTTACCACTTCCAATGGATATTTACAGTGTGCTGGCGTATTGCGTGTTGGTGGAGTGACGCCCATTACCTACGGATGGTCATCGGCACTGTCTTTGGGCCGTCTGCACTGGGCGGGGCGTGGAGCTATGGCGTAGTTTTGCTGTGGTCAGGCGGTTCGCCATCTTTGTGCGGGTCCACTGGCGGTGTACGGCGTCATGCACGCCGTGGGGCTTTCACCGACATTGCGTTATGCACGGAGTGGTCATCGCTATACCTTCGCTCGAGTATGGCATTGACGAAGGCGTGGTGCAGTTTATTTACCTCACGGTGGTCTTCCTCATCTTCGTGGTGCTCGTGCTGGCCACGCCCGACGCGGGCTGATTTTTGCCGTTGAGAAAAAATCCTCCACCTCCTCCTCCTCCCCCTCATCTCCCTCCTACCTATACTCCTCCTCCTCCTCCTCCTCCTCATCCTCCTCCTTATCATCATCATCATCCTCTTCCTCCTCCTCCCTCCTCCTCCTCCTCCTCCTCCCCCTCCTCCTCCTCCTCCTTCTCCTCCTCCTCCTCCTCCTCCTCCTCCTCTTCCTCCTCCTCCTCCTCCTCCTCCTCCTCCTCCTCCTCCGTCGTCCCTCCTCCTCCTCCTCCTCCTCGTCCTCCTCCTCCTACTCCTCCTCCTCTGACGACGACGACGACAACGACAACGACGACGACGACGACGACGACGACGACGACGACGCGGACGAGGAAGAGGACGACGACGACGACGACGACGCTGGCGGCGGCGGCGGCGACTGCGCGGCGGTGAAGCGCTGCGGGGGGCTGTGACATGACGCGGCTGCCGGACTGGCGGACCTCGATGGCCCGGTCCTGCCACCGCCCCGCGACGGCGGCGGCGGCGGCGGCTGACCCAGGCGCCACGGGAGGACGAAACAAACCGTTTAATGAGCAGTGCATGCTTCATTCAACCAGGTAGGGCTGAGCTAGATCGAATCGCGACATCGGTTCGGGTCGGAAACGGATCGGATCGACAACGATTCGTCACGCATCGAATCGAGATCAGATCACCGCGCCCAGCCAGCTCTGGCTGGCCCTGGCCGGTGCCGGTGAATCGAATCAAACCAGGATCATGGAATGAGCCCGCGAATCGAATCGCATCGAATCGGATCGTAAGCAGCCCTGATAGGTCCTGATTGTTCCTGCACTCCATGTCCTCTTCCCCTCTGCTCCTCTGCCTCCTTGCTCCAGCCTCTCCATCTCATCATCCCTCCTCCTGAGAGACGGGGGGGCATGACAAAACGAAAAAAAATGAAACCTAAGTTCATTTGATCAGCGTGTTTCCTCCAAGTTTTTGTTATGCGTACTCTAACATGTTCGGCCGCTCGGCGTTCATAGTTCTGCCGTGCCTCACGTCGAGTGTCTGCGTGGGGGCTTTCCCGCAGCAGGCTGACATTTCAAAATGCTCAATGTGTCTGTAGTTGCCGTGATGCGTGCGTCGCTGGGATTCGTGGGCGTCGTGATTCGTCGATGGGAAAAATCTGAATCGAATCCTTTGAGGGCTATGGGGGATTACGCTTGGGTTATTGAGGATTACGTTTCCCGCCAAAATGCCACCCATTTCGGGCAGCGGATGAAAGAGAGAGAATGCCTAAACGGAATAAGAGTATCACCTCAGGGCGAGGGGGGAAATATCCGAAAACCTCGGACAGACCTCCAAAGATAACCTTGGGCTCATCGTCCTCATCCTCCCCCTCATTTCCTTTTCCTTGTGAATAACCCACGCTCTCCGAGCCCTAAGAAGGTCGGCGACGATTTTGCCGGCGAAATCCACCATGGATTTTATGTTCAACGATTCGCAACCATGCCAGACACCGCGCGCATGTTGTCGGGCGTACAAGCGCGAGCCCGCATTCTCGGCGGAGCGCGCATTCTTTGCCAACGCGCGTTATTGCAAACTGTTCCGTCTTTCTCTGTCCCTCCATTCGTCGTCCTCCTCCTTTCACCTCACTCGCCGCGTGGCGCCGATATGTTTCCATTGACATGTCGTATCGTATTAATGTCTACATGTGCGCCCCGTAAGTTATTTGGTCTTGATCGAACCCGAGGTTATTGCTCGACTTCGGGGCTGTGGTTTGAGCCGCGATCTGACAACCTCGAGTCGCCTTCTTCCTCCTCCACCCCTTCTTCTATACTTCTTCTGGGGCGCCCGAGTGCGACACTTTGGTGATGTCGCGGCGGAATTTCGGCCGCGTTCTCAGGACAACCGTTTAAAGACAGTTTAATTCGACGGTGGTTTTCTCTCTTGCGTGCACGGCGGCATTCACGCTGCCCTCTCCTGCGCACCGAAGGCCTCTGCACCCGCAGGGCCGGTCCCCGGGGAAAATCAAAAGAAATCCCACAAGCCCTCTGGGCGGAGGTGGTTTGAATCGTTTCATCTTTCAACCTCCCTTTTCCCCTTCTGGGAATGATCTCCCCCCCCTTCCTCCATGGGTCTGGACCAGGGGTGCGGGGAGGCGTTCGAGCGTCCAAGATGACCTAATATAGCCTCAAGATGGCCTCAGAGACTTCAAGATGGCCCCCTATATGGCCTACTATTATTGAAGATAGCTCAAGATGGCTTCGAAGATGCTCCAATAGGCCCCAAGACCTCACAAGATGGCCTCCAGTGGCCACGGGCCCCCCCAGGGAAGCCCCCGACACGCCAAAATCATTCCAATACCTAAGGCGAAAACAACCATGGCTGCATTCCCGCCTTTCCGCGCCCAATGGACTTCCGAGGCCTCCAGATGGCTCCAAGATGGCCCAAGAGAGCTCCAAGAAGGGCCAAAGAGGGCTCCAAGACGGTCCCAAAAACGCCCAAGAGCGCCCCAAGAGAGCCCCAAGAGACGGCTGTGGGAGCTCTAGAGGGGCGACGCTGTTAGGGCCGCCCCCCTATATTGATCGATATCCTCCAATATGGCCCCAAGAGAACGCCCAGGGCCTCCAAAATTATCCCAAGAGAGCCCCAAGGGGGCTCCACGATGGCTCCAAGAGAGCTCGAGATGACCCCAAAATGGCCTCCAACATTGCATTCAGTATCCCGGGGCGGCTTCAGATGGCCACCAAGAACGCGACATGCTTCTCGCCACCGCAGCCGTGAGGAACCCGGCGGAAAACCGCCGACGAATTTTTTACAGTCGATTTCAAGACAAAAAAAAATCCACGGCAGTTTCCCACGCAGTTTTTCACGCCACCCGTGTTCAAATTTGTCGGGCGGTCTTTGGCCGGCTGTTGGAGGCCCCCCAGGGGGCCGACAATTTTCGGGGCAGGGGGAGGTCCGAGGAGTTGTTGGGAAAATTGCCGCAACTCTGGGCGCGCCGACCCCTCCAGGAACCGTGGGGCGTTCAGGCAAAAGCCGCGCGGCAGTTCCCCTCAAGAGGGGGGGCGTCTTCAAATAATGGAGAGAGGATGGAGGAGGAAGAAAGAAGAGGGACGTTGGGGCGATAGGATCGAAGGAGGGGGAGGTGGGGGGAGGAAGTGTAGGTTCGGGTTTGACGAAGTGGAAGGAGGACGAAGTATGATATAGGAGGAGGGGGGAGGAGAACGACGGAGGACGATTGATAGAGAAGGCTAGCGACGGAGGAGGAAGGGGAGGGACAGGGAGGGAGGCGCAATGATGACAAAGGAAATTGAACGCCAAACGAAGTTGTTGTTTTCCCCGTCGCTCTTGGCTCCACGACGATCAAGCGAGAAGGGCTGGCATCCCACGGTGGCTCTCGGGGGCCTCTTGAAACTCGCTTGGGCCTGCCGCGCTGCCCCAGCCCCTCGGCGCCTTCCAAAGGCGCCCTGGCGGCGGGGGGGGGGCCTAGGGGGAATCTAAAGAATGCCCTGAGAGGAAACACAAGCCTGCATATACTGCGTGCCTTTTTGTTGGGTCCCCCTTGGAAGCCTCTCGGGGCCCTCTTTGGGGCCTCTGGAGACGCTCTTGGGGACCTGTCGCGAACTCTCCGAACCCTTCGTCGCCTCCCAAGGTTACCCTGGCACCCTGGAAGGCTCCTTGGAGGAGCCGCAAAGGGGGGCCCGAAAAGAAACGCAAGCCTGCGTACCCTTTGTGCCTCTTTCGGGGTCCCTCTTGGAAGTCTCTCGGAACCATGTTGGGGCCTCGTGAGACTCCCCCGGGGCCCTGTCGCGCACTTTCCGAGCCCTTCGGCGCCGCGCGAGGGCACCCTGGCGGCCCCGGGGGGTCCGACAAGGATCCCCGAAAGGAATTCGTAAAGAAACAAAAAACGACCAGACGCACCGGTTGACGGGGGCAGCGGGGACAGGGGGGTGGAAGGGGAAGAGGAAGAAGAAGGGGGGGCCATTGCGCACCATAGCTTTAACGCGTTTTGTAATAGACACGTGTTTTTCGCGCCCAAAGACGCCCGTTCGCGCGCGAATGACACATTGCCCTCTCTTGGCACGCGGTATGCGCCCGCGCGCAAAACGATGCGATAATCGCGTCTAGAAACTCAAAATAATCAGCGCGCGAATCGGCTTTCTTCAACGCGCGATAATTGGAGACCAGTCAAACAAATCCACGCAGTCTTTCACCCTTAGGAGAGGAGGGCCTGAGAATAACTCCTCCTTGTCGCAACCGGAGGCCAGTCGGAAGGGCGCGCCGGGCGTTTCGTCTGAGGCTTCCGTATTACTGATGTCCCTGAAACTTGAAAAGTGGCAACAGCTTCACAGACGGAGGGCTGGTGCTTTTCAGAATGTTGCTCTCGTCTTAGCGCCGCGCAAATTTGTCTTTTTTCCACTTGCAAGAATGTATATGACTGTGGGCGGATCGTTTTGAAAATGTAGCTCTAGCCTGAGCGCCGTGCACACACGTCTTAACAATCACAAGAGCTTCACGGATGGAGGCAGGTGGTGCTCAAACTGTGGCTCTCCCCTTAGCGCCGCGCATAACCGTTTGAAACAATCCAAGCGCTTCAAGGATTGAGGGCGGGTCGTTTTCAAAATGTGGCTCTCGCCTGAGCGCCGCCCACATTCGCTTCAAAACTGTGACAGAACTTCTCCGATTGACGGCGGTCCATTTTCAGAATGTGTTCGCCTTAGTGCCGCGCACATTCGTCCTCAACAGCTGCAGGAGTGTCATGGATTGAACACGGTTCCTTTTTCAAATGTTGCTCTCGCCTGACCACCGCGCACACTCGTCTTAACCATGTGCAAGAGTTTCACGGAATCCCGTGGTTAACGTGCTACAGATGGTTTGAACGGTTAAGGGCTGTCAGGGCGCAACCGTTATGTTAATTCGCAGTGCTGACGTCCCAAAAATGGCGTCCTTGCACGATTCAGGATCGCCAGTGCGCTACAGTCAGGTTGGTTCGTGGCGTTGAAATTCTGAGAACGGCGTTCTGGCAAGCTTCAAGATCTTCAGACGGTTGTCTCAAAACGGGGCACCTCCCTCAATGGACATGAATCCTTGCAGAGGCCTCTGAAGAGGGAGCTTGGAGGGAGGGGTGATCCCATCATCGTTGATGAGTATTCGGTTTACATTGGTTCTCCCCCGTTCTATTTCTTCATAAGTAAATCCTCCCTGTCGCACCCCGAGGCCAGTCGAAAGGGCGGACGGGGCGCTTGGCCTGAGACTCCCTCACCACCTATGAACCTGATGTGTAGAAATTGGCAACAGCTTCACACATGGAGGGCGGGTGTTTTTCAACATGTGGTTCTCGCCTCAGCGCCACGCGCATTCGCTTTAAATTTTGCAAGAACTTCTCGGATTGAGGGCGGGTCGTTCTCAAAATGTGGCTCTCGCCTCAGCGCTGCGCATACTCGTTTGAAAAATTCCAAGCGCTTCAAGGATTTAGGGCGGGTCGCTTCCAAAATGTGGCTCTCGGCTTAGCGCCGCGCACATTATGTTCAAACATGTACAACAGTTTCATGGATTGGAGACAAATCCTTTTCAACATATGGCCCTCGCCATAGCGCCGCGCACATTCGTGTGAGAAGAATGCCACTCACGGATTCCTATGGTCAGCGTACCAGGAATTGCGTTCTGGCACGACTATGGATCCTCAAGACGCACCGGTCAGGAATATTCGCAGTGCTGAAGTCCCAGGAACAGTGCTCTGGCACGATTCAAGATCGTCAAGACGCAACAGTCAAGTTGACTGATGGCGTTGGAATCCCGAGGATGGTGTTCTGGCACGCTTCAGGATCTTCAAACGGTTGTCCCCAACGAGGGCACTTCCCTCAGTGGAACTGAATCCTTGCAGGGGCCTCTGAAGAGCAGGCTTGGAGGGACGGTTTATCAAAACATTGTTGATGATTATTCAGTTTACACTGGTCCTCCTCCTCCTCCTCCTCCTCCTCCTCCTCCTCCTCATCTGCTCCTCCTCCTCCTCCACCTCCTCCTCCTCCTTTTCCTCTTTGTCTCCTCCTCGCCTCCTCCTCCTCCTGATACATCATACGCTCAGTTGTGCAACTCTCTGCGGAGGGGCCATCAAAGAATGTGAACATGCTGAATCACACGAGCAATCTGAAAGCGGCACGGCAACAATATCCAGCACCCCGACGCTCCTGAGGGGGAATGCTTGGAGTGACCGGCTCCTCGGAGGGGGAACATCGAGCTGGAATCGGTGATACATCGCCGACACATCGGCGATAGGCCACCGACGGCGGAACCGCGCGATCCTGGGCGGGGTAGGCTATCGGGCCCTCCTCGGCGATCAATCGGCGATCGGGGGGCGATGCATCTCCCCCTGAGCTAATCGCCCCCCCACCTTGCCCCTGGACTCTTCCTCCCTCCGCCCTGCCCCACCCCCCCTTCCCTGTGCCCCCCGCCATCGCGAAGAGGTTCCGGTCCACCCTGTCGTTGCCAGTCCACGGCTGGCGCATGCCGTCCCTGCGCCACCCGCGGCGGCCACACGCCCAGTGCGCGCGCAGGGAGGAGTGGGGGGAGGGAAGGGGGGGAGGGGCAGGAGAGGGGGAGGCCGAGGAGGAGCCCCCCAGGAGGAGCAAGGGTGGGTGAGGAGGGAGAGGATAGGAGGAGGGGGAAGAGGAGGAGGACGAGGAGGAGGAGGAGGTGACAAAAGGAGGGCGGGGAGTGGAAGGAGGGGCGAGGATGGACAGGGAGGAGAAGCGAGGATCGGAAGAGGCCAGGTGGAGAGAGGACAAGGAGGAGAAGGAGATGGAGGAGGAGAAGGAGAGGGAGGAGGCTGAGATAGGGAGGACGAGTAGAAAGGAGGATGGTGGCTAGGGCCCCTGGGGGTAGGACTGCGCAATGTTTTGCGGCTCTCGAGCTTGTTCTGAGCTGCTCGGACGGGCTCCGGAAGACCAGCGACGCTGTAACACACCCTGTCATCCTCCTCCTCCTCCTCCTCCTGATCCTCTTCCTCGTCCTCCTCGTCCTCGTCCGCCTCGTCGTCGTCCTCCTCCTCTTCCTACTCCTCATGCTCCTCGACCTCCCTCCTCCTCCTCCTCCTCCTCCTCCTCCTCCACCTCCTCCTCCTCCCTCCCGCCCCTTCCTGTTCTCAGCCTCGGCAGGCCTTCCTTTCCGCTGCTGGAAGGCACACCCTTGAGAGACGTCTCCCCACGAGCCGGCCATCCAGGCGAGAGCCCCGCGTCGAGGATGAGCTGCCCTGCGCCCTGGTAGACATCAGCACTGCGAAGAGGTATGGTCAAACATGTAACGGAGGTGTGCGACGACTTTTGCCGCCCCCCCCCCCCCGCGTGGGTGCTGCGGGTGCTGCATGAATTGGCAGTGCCGGATGTATTGTGAACCATATGCTGCACACGTTTCGGAAAAGATACCACCCTGGAGCCTGTCTTTACATTTTCCGCGATAACGGCCGTCACCGGCCCCGCGCGCCTCCACCCCCAGGTGACGTCACGTTCCGCGACGGCGGCGTCTGGGAGTGCTTAGGAATGACCGAGGCCAAATATGCGCAGCAGGAAGGTAACAATCTGCACCACAGCGCCTGTGTACACCACAGTGCTCGCGTGCACCACAGCGCGCGTGTACACCACAGCGTCTGCGTACACCGCAACAGCCGTGTGCAACGCAGCGCCTGTGTACACCACATTGCTTGCGTGCAACACAGCGCCTGTGTACACCACAGCGAATGTTTACACCGCAGCAGCCGTGTGCAACCCGGCGCCCGTGTACACCACAATGCTTCTGTGCACCGCAGCGCCTGCACACACCACAGCGCCTGTGTACACCACAGCACCCGCGTGCAACACAACGCTGGTGTACTCCAAACTGGTTGCGTACACCACAGGTAGAAGGAACACGTATGTGAGGATCTGCTGCGGACAGCTAAACACCGCGCAAGGGGAGTGCTGAGAATGTAATGCGATGTTCTTCCCTCCTTGTGGGTGGACGTGGGAGGACTCGGGGGGACGTGGGAGGAGGTGGGGGGTCTCGGGAGGAAGGGGGTGGACGTGAGAGGAGATGGGAGGAGGTGGGGAGAGGTGGGAGGACTCGGGAGGACGTGGGAAGGAGGTGGGAGAAGATGGGACGAGTTTGGAGGAGGTGGGAGGACGTGGGAGGAGACGGGAGGTGGGGGGAGGATGATGTGAGAGTAGCTGGGAGGACGTGGGGGAAGGTGGGAGGAGGTGTGTGGGCGGGGAGGGGATGGCCCTCGAGAGGAAGAAAGCCTCAAACCTCGAGCCTCGAGATTCGAGGATCGAACCTCGGCCCGAACCAAAAAACAAAACGTCCGATCGAGCGCCCTAAGACGTCTCGTCCCGCTTGCGGGAAAAGCGCGACTCATGCATGCACTGAGGAAAACGTGCATCGGTGAATACACAATCGAATTTTCGATACACCCCTCAAGCATAAAAAGTATTGCCGTCGGGTGTGTGCACGTATGACAGATACTCAACCCGAAATTAATCCGAAAACCTGCCGCGCGCATTGTGCACTTCACGCTCCAAGCTGGTGTTGAAACGATCCCGGGAAAATGCTCTATTGAATCAGTCCACTTGGTTCTCGGATGGGCAACTCTGCGGGAGCCTTCTGGGCGCAGATGGGAGGAGTTAGGATGATGCGGGAGGACTCGGAGGACTCGTAGATTCCAGAGGCGCCCCTTTTTCCATAAGGATTCCTTTCCAAATCCTATATAAAACAATGCTCATCTGTGGAATCCAGGCGCTCCATTGTGTCCGAACGAACCGTTTTACACATTCTTTATACAACAATGGTGGTCTGTTGTACGCGGTTGCTGTGGGACGCACCGGCGCCGTGGTGTACACAGGCGCTGCGGTGCACGCAGGCACTATGGTGTACACTGGTGCTGTGTTGCACACGGCTGATGCGGTGTACACAAACGCCATGGTGTTTTTGTTTTACACAAACCCCGTAGTGTACACAAGCGCTGTGGTGCACGCAGGCACTGTGCTGCACTCTGGCGGTGTGCTGCACGCAGGCACTGTGGTGTAACCAGGCGCTGCGGTGCAGATCGCCACCTACATGTTGCTGCTACCCGTCCTCGATCATTCCGAAGCATTCCCGGACGCCGCCTGCGCGAAACGCGACGCCACCGGCCCCCTTCCCCCCCACCCCTCCTGATGGCCGCCATCGCCCCGGAATGAAAAAAAAGGTTCCTGCCTCCCTGCTGCTGCTGCTGCTGCTGCTGCTGCTGCTGCTGCAGTTGCTGCTGCACGTGTGCCCACTCCCTGCAGTCGTGAGGGCCACACGAAAGAGGCGAGGGCGCCCGCAGACAGTCCAGCAGCCCATCGTGCTCGTGCGTCCGAGGCGGCGTCGGGGCCCTGCATCGCCGGCAGAGCTGGAGGGCCCTCCTGCGGTTCGCTCTGCTCCCCCGCGAGAGCCCAGGATTGAAACAAGCCAACCCGCCGTCCATACAGTCGGGGCGTTGACCTAAGGAACCCTAAATAAGGAACAGGGCCCCTTTCTCCCATAAGTTGAACTTCGATTTCCCATGGAAAACCTCAGGAAAACAGAAGGCAAACTGTAGAACTATCAAGGAACACCGAGCCCCTCCCCAACGAAAAGGGTTCCTCCTTCAGGGCCCCGACTGTACGTGCAACTGCTGGGAGCTTGCAAGGAGAATGTGCGCGGCACTGGGCCAAGAGCCGCAACTTGAAAACACGTCGCCCTTCATAATGATAGCTGCTGGGAGACTATCAGGCGAACGCGCGCGGCGGTGAGGCGAATACAACTCTTGAGGGAAACCACCCGCCGTCCATCCCTGCAACTGAAGTAAAGTTGTAAGACGAAGTGCGCGGCGATAAGGCAAAATATCGATGTTGAAAACAGCCCGCCTTCCATCCGATCAACCGATGGAGAATCTTGGTGCGCGCGGCGACAAGGCGCCCTCCAACCTCGCACCTTTCGGAAAGTGTTAGCTTCATGGCGACAGTCAAGGCGCGCCTGGTGGCTCGACGAGGCGGAGCGATGTAGAAGGAAGAGGGGTGCAGGAGGAGGAGGAGGAGGAGGAGGAGGAGGAGGAGGAGGAGGAGGAAGAGGAGGGAGAGGAGAGGGAGGCAGGGAGGGAAGGAGGGTGAGGAGGGAAAGGAAATAGGAAGGGGCAGCTGAGGGGCCTTCAAAGAGTCTGAGGAGGAGGAGGAGGAGGAGGAGGAGGAGGAAAAGGAGGAGGAGGAGGAGGAGGAAGAGGACGAGGAGGAGGAGGAACGGAGGAAAAGGAAGGGAAGGAAAAGGGAGAGGGAGAGGGAGGAAGGGAGAGGGGAAGACAGAAACAGGAGGAGAGGAAGAGCAGGGAGGCGGGGGAGAAGAATAACATCCCGCCAACCCTCTGGGCGCAGGTGGTCTAGAGCGTTTCCTTTTCAAGCCTCCTTCCTTGTCCTTCCCTTCCTCCATTTCTGTTCCTCCTTCTCCTTCCCTTCCTCCATTTCCTTCCCTTCCTCGTTTCCTCCTCTTCCTCCTTCCCTTCCTCCTTTTCTGTTGTTTTCTCTCCTCTTCCTCCTCCCCCTCCTCCTCCTCCTCCTCCTCCTCCTCCTCCTCCCACCTCCTCTTCCTCCTCCTCCGCCTCCTCCTCCTCCTCCTCCTCCTCCTCCTCCTCCGCCTCCTCTTACCCCCAAGAAGGTCCCAGGCATCACCAGCACCAGCAGCACCACTTGCTCCAAGATGGATCCAAGAGGGCAACAGAGCACCACAAGCAGCAGCACCAGCAGCATCACCACCACCGCCACCACCACCACCACCATCACAACCACCAGCAGCCGCACGCGAGTTTAATCTAAACTTCAGCGCAAGGACAAAGATCAAAGATGCACATGGGGATGCGACTTTCAACTGTGCGACAAGGGCGACGAATGATAGATACAGCCACGTGCGCCAGAAACGCTTCCATTGGAAACACCCCGGCGTATGTTGCACTGGTGTCCAGATTTAATTTCGTTGCGGGAAGCTGTGTGAGATCCTTGCTTCAGCCACCTGCGCTACAGGCGTTTACCACGGGGAGTACCACGTCGTACCTTGCACTGATTTCCATCTTCAACTTCACTTCGAGAAGCTATGTGTGATCCTTGCTTTTCTGATGACGGCCGCGCAGCTGCATGCTTCCAGCCGTCCCTGATTTCCCAACTCCCCTACTGATAATTTCTGGATGGGCTGATGGGGATACGCGGAGCGTCACGAATTCATCATGGTACGACGTTGGGTTGCTTTGACGGTCGCTTCAATAGCAACGCTTCTTTCTACACGCCTGAGACTGTGTGACACTTGAATTTGCGAGCGAACTCCTGCTGTCCTATTCTGCCAACCTCTGTTCCTTTTTCACCTCATGTTCTCTCTCCCTCTCTCTCTCTCTCTCTCGCAGCAGCAGCAGCAGCAGCAGCCACCTCTGCGGTTCCCCCAAGACGCCGCTCCGCGGCCGACGGTCGCGGGCGCGGCCGGGGACGGGGCGGGCCCAAACCGCC